TTAAAAATCGGTTTTTGCGACGAGTGACTGGTTTGGCTTGTTTTTTGCCACATATATCCTTATCCCTTGTGATAAATACTTATTTATTGGTTTGTTCTGCCAGACAGTGTTCAGCAAGGGGTGGTAATGTTCAGCTGAGTGTAAACAAATCGTTTTTGAGGGAAATATAACTTTAACATCATGATTCTAAAATTACAAGTTGTAATCCAATCAGAAATATTCTTTCATAGCGTCTTCATATATAGAATTTGTGAGTTGTAATCCAATCAGAAATACGCTTTCATAGCATCATGATATACAGAATTTGTGTGCTGTAATCCATCAGAAATGTTCTTTTTATAGCTGTATGTTTATCAGTATATTTTAATAAATATATGTACATAACTGTTCCAAATAGTTGCATCTGGTTGTTATTATATGACTTGTGTAAATCTAGCATGCATTCTTCGCCTAAACAGGCAATTTCCTTTGTTGATCTCATTTTTATATATTGTATGTCGTATTTTATAAAGTAACAGTAAATGAATTATAAGTAAAATTATAGATAACTGCATATCTAAAAAAGGTATCTATATGCTGTCCCTATTTATTTGGAACTTGCAATGGTAGAACAAAATCTTTTAAAAGGTACATGATGTTTACAATAGAAATTATGGAAGTGGCGACACCATCAACTGTAACTCTACGATATTATAAAAGTTAATTCACAACAGTATAAGTCCACTTGAATTTACTAAGAGTAAATAAATCTTATGTAAATGATATTGTATATATTATATTGTGTTCCCCAATCTTTCTTACTATTGAATTTGTATGTTGTATTGTTGTTGTTATTATTATTATTTTTATTATTATTATCATTATAATATTTTTTTTTCTTTTTTCTTTCCCGTTTATTTACTTTTATGACATAAATTGTTTAGCCTCATATTATCTGTTGTTAAGGTTTTAATTATTTAAATTTTCACTGGTTTTATATTGTATATATTATATTGCCCCAATTTATTGCATTTGTATGTTGCATTGTTATTACTATTATTATTATTATTATTATTATTATTATTATTATTATTATTACTATTATTATTATTAATGTTGTTCTTCTTTCGCGTTTTTTACTTCTATGACTTTTACTTTTATGATATAAATTGTTTAGCTTCATTTTGTCTGTATTTAAAGTTTTTAATTATTTAAATGTTTATTGCTTTTATATTGTGATGCCCCCCATCTATTTACTTTTGAATTTGTATGTAATACTATTATTATTATTATTATTATTATTATTATTATTATTATTATTATTATTGTTATTATTATTATTATTATTATTATTATTATTAATGTTGTTCTTCTTTCGCGTTTTTTACTTTTATGACATAAATTGTTTAGCCTCATTTTGTCTGTATTTAAAGTTTTAATTATTTAAATGTTTACTGCTTTTATATTGTGATTCCCCCAATCTTTTTACTATTCAATTTGTATGTTATACTATTATTATTATTATTATTATTATTATTATTATTATTATTATTATTATTATTATTATTATTAATGTTGTTCTTCTTTCGCGTTTTTTACTTCTATGACAATTTAGCCTCATTTTTACCGTATTTATCGTTGTACACTTTCATGTTTATAATTTGTTTTATGTAGTGCCACATTGGAATTAAGTTTTACTTCTTAAAACAAAACCTTCATAGACCATCTTTGCATCATCTATTGTAATTTTTTTTTGTCCTGCCTTGTGCGAATTTTGTATCTGTTTTGTAGAATGTTTTGATGATGAGAAATAAACTGAACTGATGATATACCAAAACAAATATTGAATCATAATGGTCTGTTAATTTTATTTGAGTTGTACTTTTTAATGTTGTTATAATAGTAACAGCAGTTAACATAAAACCATCAAAAACCGAGGTAAATACGAGTTAATAGCACCTTAAAGTTAATTAATAAGGTGCGAAATCATGAGGGGGTTTTCAAAGGTACCAGTAACGCCCATACGTTACTTTCAATAACCTTTTAATTAAAAAAAAATGCGTTTTAAGCAAACTTTGATTCGGTGATTCAAATATTATCTGTGTTGCCTACTGCTTATGGTCAACTGAACACGTCACCAAGCGGGTCCGTTTATGTGTAGGTTACTATAATGGATCATTTTCTACACTTGTTTCAAATCACGGTCAAGTAGTTAAAAATCACCTAAAATCACCTTATTTTACGAATTAGCGCCCCTCAACTGATCATCAAGCCCCCTCCCACTTCACCCT